CTTCAGAGTTCATCCTGTGTCAGTAAATGCAGGATCAGCAAAGCCTTCCTGACGCCTTGGAAGCCCTGGGATTTGTATCCCATCCAGCAAGGGAGCGGACACTACCAGACCAAGGAGCCAGACTCTGCCAGAGGCACTCTGGTTCAGCACTTGGGACTGAGAGCCCCCAAGGAGGACTGAGCTCACCTGACTGCCGGGCCCGAGCAGAAGTTGAGAGACGCTGTCTATAGTAGTGGCCTCCAACCTTTTTGGCACCAGGCAGGGGTCAGTGCTTCTATGAGGTTCTAATGCCTGATGATCTGAGGCGGAGCTGAGGCGGTGATGCTGGTTGGTGCTGGGCAGCGGCTGCAAGTACAGATGAAGCTTCGCTGTCTCACCTGCTACTCACCTCCTGCTGTGCAACTCAGTTCCTAATAGGCCACGGACTGGTACCAGGGGTTGGGGTCCCCTGGTCTATAGCATAGAGAGAAGGGCCTGGGCTCAGCAGGTTCCCAGCTGTGTGACCTTGGGCAGGCCACTTCTTATCTCTGGGCCTCTGCATCTTCAGAGCAGTTAGGGAGGCTGAGCTCTGCGTGGCAAGGTTTACCATAGTTGCTGGCATGGAGCAGTGTGACAACAAACTGCTGTTTACTCCAAAACAGATCTGAGGGCATCTGACTACTGGCCACCCTGATGGGAAACTCCCACCTAAGTGTAAAATTAGGGAGTTTTATAGCAGAGGAAGTGCTATAGGGATGTTTAGAATGGAGAAGACACGATTATGGTTTTCAACAGTGTGGGAGAGTAGCTGAGTTCCTTTGATCTGGTTCCAAAGGATGGGGCTAGGAAGCGAGGCCTCGGAGGCCTCGGGTGTGTTGGGCACTGGGCCGGGTACTTTCATGTCGTGACTCTTCTTTAATTCTCACTGCAGCCTGCAAAGGCATTAACCCCGTTTACAGATGAGAAAAGAGATGTTTAGAGAGGTTAAATAAAACTATACATGGTTACCCCGCTTGGGGACAGAGCTGGGATTTGAGCCCAGGTTTCCAATGCTAGCATCTGTCTTCTGAGATAACGGATGCATGTTTTAGTTCAGTATAAGAAGCATTTGTTTTTGTGAAATATTAGAACTGTCCAGTGCTGGAATAGGCTTTCTGGAAGAAAATGAGCTTCTTGGTGTAATCTTGTTGAATCAGGAGTTTATGGAGTTTGCTAAAGAGAGGTTTTCTGCCTTGAGGCTACCCTCATCCCCTTTGTTCCTGAGAAAGTGAAAGTCTCTCTTCTAGATCAGGGCCTGCGATTTACCCAAGATTTCACAAGGCCTGAGACTTGGGCTCCAAGTGTGGGAAAAAGTTTTACCATTTCCTAGTCGTTGTGACATCTGGGTTGGAGGAGCTTACAGGTGAACTCAGGAATGTCTCTGGGCCCTCGGGCCAAGTTGAACTAAGCCTTGAGTTTACTTTTGGATTTAGGAAATAAAAACAAAACCCAAATAAGTTATTTTTTAAAAACATGCCAAGTCATCATTCTTATTTAAATAATACTGATCGGGACTTCTCATACTCCAGTCACAGTGGTCAGCATAATAAGACTCAATAATATCCACTTTTACTTTAAAATTAATTTCTTACCCTTTTTCTTGTTTAGAAAGGTATCTTTTGTAGGAAACTTGGAAAATACAAAGATACAAAGAATATCATAAAAATAACCTATAATTATGTGTAATATCCCACCGCCACCCAGAGGTAACTACTAGTAATATTTTGGTGTTTTTAAAATTTTACAGTCCAAGTTAAAACATATACAATAATATATGTTCTCGTAATCATACAAGTAGCAATGAAAACGTCCTTACAAATATTTGAACACTACTGACAAAGCTAGAATCTTCCTTTTCTACCAGCCCTCACCTGAACTGCCTACCCCAGGAGTAACAGGTCAGCCGGGGCATGTCCCCTTAGTTGTACATCTGCATACATATCTGCACATACAGAAATATAGACTGTTAAATCACTATGTTGTACATTTTTTCTGTAACTTAACAATGAATCTTGGGGATTTTTTTTAAAGTGTTGTACAGTATTTCACAGAATGGATAAGATGTAACTTTTAAGAGAATAAATGGACATTTTGTTTTTTTCTAATTTTAAAAATACTTCACTTAATGGTACAGTGAGCATTCTTATAGCTGCCTTCTTGTGCACATGTGTGGTACAGATAAATATAGAGACATGGAATTACTAGGTCATT